GTAGGTAGATAGTAAGACTAAAAATTAAAAGAGCTACCCGTATACATAACTAGTACATCTACCTAACATAAAAGTATTGTAAATGTGAAGTCGTAGTGCAGGCACTTTCCGTTATTTTATGTAGGGACTGCCTAAACAAACGTCCATGGATGGGCACTGTGCAGTGATGACATTTGATACGTACCCCCAATGCCGATATCCAGGATATCCAGGCGTACTCCAAGGCCCCACAGTTCCAAGCTCATCTGATAAGCATCTATCGATAGGAAATCAGGTGAAATATTTTGGCCGATAAGGATTTTTTCTTTTCCGTTTGTTTTAGCAGTCTCAAAAACCGAGGGGTTGAGCTTGCTCAAGAAGACCTGACTACGCGCAAACCTTGGGCGCCAATCTGTCAGGACATTTCACTGCTCTTCTACCCGTATTATATCTCCGTATGAAGTGAGACTTGAAGTTTGGTCGAAACACAGGAATATCCTTCACCTGTCACCATGGCGCCACAACCAACCAACACGAGCTGGGACCACGAGTATAACACTCTTCGTCGAGAGAAGCTTTTTAGGGATCCCCCGACAGATCGATCCGCGTATCCTTTGTTGCAGGAGGCTGTAAACCCACATATCGAGTCATTCGATGCTCTCTTTGGCGACAATGGCTTGGTCGCGAAGGGACTGGCCGATATTGGCACAAGGTTGTTTCTGGATGGAGACGACCGCGCTCCGCCAACCGGGAAGAACAGACTAAGGATCAAGTGCAAGGGAATACACCTTCAGAAATCGCAACTCCCACCTACCAACAAGTTTGCGGTTAAGAACCGAGAGATCCTACCCGCGGAGTGTCGAGAACGACATGTATCATACCGAGGAAAGCTTTCTGCCACATTTGAGTACAGAATAAACGATGGCGATGCGAAGGAATTCACCCGAGAGATTGGCCAACTGCCGATTATGGTAAAGGTAAGACTGTTAGACTGCCATTATTATGTTTTCGTGAAAGTCATGATTTGCTAAGCTGTATTATAGTCGGCCTATTGCCATCTTAGAGATAACAGCCCGGCGCAATTGGTCGCACGTAAAGAGGAATCAGAAGAACTAGGGGGTTATTTCGTTGTCAACGGCATCGAAAAGATTATACGACTTCTTCTGGTCAACCGAAGAAATTTCCCTCTAGCCATCAACCGTCCGAGTTTCACTAACCGTGGTCCTGCCTACACTCCTTACGGTATCATACTTAGATCAGTGCGACCGGATGAAACTTCCCAAACGAATGTTCTCCATTATCTAAACGATGGTAATGTTACCTTTCGCTTCTCTTGGCGAAAGAACGAATATTTAGTCCCAGTTATGATGATTTTAAAAGCACTCGTAGAGACGAACGATAGAGAGATTTTTGAAGGTCTAGTTGGAGCTCCGGATTCAAAAGGCATCGAGAACACATTTCTCACAGATCGTGTTGAGCTCTTATTACGAACCTACAAGACCTATGGAATCTATACAATGGCGCAGACTCGAGCGTATCTCGGAGAGAAATTTCGACCTGTTTTAGGAGTGCCCGATACTTTATCGCACTACGAGGTAGGTACCGAATTCTTGCGACGAATCGTGTTGGTCCACTTAGGAAATATCAACGTGACGGAGCAGCAAGATTCAGACAAGTTCCGTATGCTATTATTTATGATCAGGAAGCTTTATGCTTTGGTTGCTGGAGACTGCTCGGTTGACAATCCTGATGCGGTCCAAAACCAGGAGATTCTCCTTGGTGGATTTCTATACGGCATGATCATTAAAGAACGACTAGACGAATTGCTCTCCGTTGGACTCCGCGGCGCTCTACGAGAATATATGAGAAGGTACCCTGCAAGGTCATTTACCTCTGAAGAATTTTCGAAGGATTTTCCTATCAAGATATTCCAGAAGACTAACGAAAATGTCGGCAACGCTCTGGAGTATTTCTTATCGACTGGCAATTTATCAAGCCCGTCCGGTCTAGATTTACAACAAGTATCAGGTTTTACCGTTGTTGCCGAGAAGCTCAACTTCCTCCGTTTTATCAGTCATTTTCGAATGGTACATCGAGGAAGTTTCTTCGCTCAGCTGAAGACTACGACGGTACGAAAGTTATTACCTGAGTCTTGGGGCTTCCTCTGCCCTGTTCATACCCCCGATGGTTCGCCCTGTGGTCTACTTAACCATCTTGCACATAAATGCAAGATCATGACTGGCTCTGTCAACACTTCAATGATCCCACAGCTGGCCGCCGAGCTTGGCGTCGTTGACACTTCATCTGCCGCGACAGATGAAAGTGTAGTCGTTATCTTAAATGGTAGGATCCTTGGTTGGTGCCACCCGTCCGAGTCGCGCAGAATAGCGGACACTTTCCGATACTGGAAAGTTGAAGGCTCTCACGGAATCCCTGTGCACCTCGAAATCGGCCACGTACCGTCGTCCAAGGGAGGATCCTACCCTGGAATATACATGTCTTCTGAACCCGCTAGAATGGTAAGGCCAACCAAGTACCTCCCGTTAGCGAAGGAAGACTTCGTAGGACCTTTAGAACAGCCATATATGTCTATTGCTTGCACGGAGCAAGAAGTTGTCTCTGGAGAATCGACACATGTTGAATTCGACCCTACGAATATTCTATCAATCCTAGCAAATATGACACCTTTCTCAGACTTCAACCAGTCTCCAAGGAATATGTACCAGTGTCAGATGGGTAAGCAAACGATGGGTACTCCAGGGACGTCACTCGCATACCGGACAGACAACAAAATGTATCGCCTCCAGACCGGTCAGACACCTATTGTCAGGTCTCCACTTCATAATGCGTACGGCTTCGACAATTTCCCCAACGGCACAAACGCAGTTGTCGCTGTGATATCCTATACGGGATATGATATGGACGACGCTATGATAATAAATAAGTCGGCCCACGAACGTGGCTTTGGACATGGCACCATTTACAAGACTAAAAAGTACACGCTCAAGGAAGAAAGTCGCACAAGGTCAGCCAAAAACGTGACTAAAATGTTCGGCTTCGCTCCAGGCAGCGTCGTCAAGGCATGGACGCAGACTATGTTAGATGAAGATGGACTCCCATATGTCGGACGAATGGTTCAAGAAGGTGATATCATCTTTGCCTACCACACGGTCTCCGCAGACTACAGTGGTAACTTAGTAAATCGAGACGGTGTCACTAAGTACGAGAAATACAAGGATTCGGAACAAGCGTTCATCGAAGAGGTACGACTAATCGGCAGTGAGCAAGGCAACGAGCCTGCTCAAACAATCTCGGTCAAGTTCCGCATTCCTCGGTCACCCGTCATCGGCGATAAGTTCTCATCGCGCCACGGTCAGAAAGGTGTCGCTTCGCAAAAATGGCCGGCTGTCGATATGCCCTTTTCGGAGTCTGGTATTCAACCCGATGTTATTATCAATCCCCACGCTTTCCCCTCTCGAATGACGATCGGTATGTTCGTCGAGTCGCTGGCAGGAAAGGCAGGCGCACTTCATGGCCTTGCACAAGACTCAACTCCTTTCCGTTTCGATGAGGATAATACGGCAGCCGACTTTTTCGGACATCAACTCATGAAAGCTGGTTACAATTATCACGGAAACGAACCTATGTATTCTGGAATTACTGGGGAAGAATTAGCCGCAGATATCTACATTGGTGTCGTGTATTACCAGCGATTACGTCACATGGTCAACGATAAGTACCAAGTAAGAACAACAGGACCGGTAGTCGCTACGACGGGTCAACCGATCAAAGGTAGAAAAAGGGGTGGTGGTATTCGTGTTGGTGAAATGGAACGAGACGCTTTGTTAGCACACGGCACAGCCTTCCTTCTCCAAGACCGTCTTCTCAACTGCTCGGATTATACGCCATCGTGGATTTGCCGGAGATGCGGCTCTTTCTTGTCGATACAGCCTACAGTCTCTCCATTTGTGGGTAGGAAGAAAACAGTGAATAGCGTCCGATGCCGAAATTGCGCGACTCGCCTCGATCAAATCAAGGATGTCGACTTAACCAAACTAGCTGGTGAGATATGGGAAGATGGACAAGGGAACCAGTGGATCGGAGGTGAAGATACTACGAAAGTAGCAGTTCCCGGTGCTCTGAAGTACCTTGACGTGGAACTAGCAGCTATGGGTGTTAAGTTGAAGTACCGAGTCGACCCGAAGGATGCTCCGCGAAAGGGCCCGTTGTTACATGCGAAATGGGACGTGATTTCTACGGGAAAGAAAGCAAACGCCCTCCCACCCGTCGTTGCGGCCGCGTAGAGCCCGCGTAGAGCCCGCGAAAGATGAATTCCAAAAGGTGTCAGTTGCATTAGATGGAGTTATAAGGCTTTCGGGTCTTCGGTTTCGGGTTTAAAATGGATAATTCCAGTTAGGTAGTGATACACAGTGAAGTTCGATACAAATTTTCTAAACGATGTACATTGCTTTTCCCTTTTGCGGTGTCTTCAGATGATTTTTTTCAAGGACGGCGGTGAAGATTGCGAGAGGCAGCAATGTAAGTAACCGATGCTAGGACCAAACTGGTTTCAGAACGGCTAACCACCGTGTATCATATACCATATCTGCGCAAATGCCGTGCATCCTGCCGTCTTTTCGGGAGATGTTCTTGGCTATATGGGTATTTCATAAAAGTTTTGATTACTTTGAAGATGCATGGGGAAGTACTGTTCGGAGAAAACAGTCATGGTTCAACCGAGCAGTCACCTGGGCAGTTTGTAAGAGGACGGTAGTCGGCAAAGAAGCAATCGCGAGATCGCATCGCATCGCGTCAGTTCGTTATTTCCTAAGCTTAGCCCACACTAAGGCAGGATGCAGGTGCTAATATAAGCTATTACGACCCCTAAGAGGTATGTACATGTAGCTACTTGCAGAAATGCAGAAATATACATCCTTAATTTCTGCTGCGTATCCAAAAATTTTGACTTCCTCCCGTTACAATGTCATTTTATTAATCAAAGCATCGTTCCGTCTTCATATTGTATGGAAAGACCGCCCTAACCTAAGGCCCTTTAGTTTTACTCACATCTATTAGGGAGACAAGCTCATCATCCTATCTCGTCTTTTCACTGCTTCTCCCTAGCACCTCCGGCAATATCTTTCATCCCAAATCACATGTGTCGTACTGTTTTTGCCGCTCTATTTTGTGTGTCCCTTGTGATTCCCGGCTTCATCCGTACTTTCCCAAGCAGCTCCAACTACATGAGAGCCCGACATGTCGTCCGTTCATAAGATCTGCCTTGCCGTCACTCTACTGTTCTCTATAGTTATTGCTAACGTCCAGCCGGGGCAATACGACTATGGGTTTACCGCTGATCTTCGTTTGCGAAAACGGGCTCCGTCTCAGTCTTCTATCGTAACCGGCCCTCCTCGGTTCAATGGGGAAACGCAGTTGAGACAAGATATCCGAGATTTGCAAAATGACGAGGACAAATGGAACTTGTACCTCCTCGCCCTCAGCTGGATGCAATTCACCGACCAAGAGTCACAATTCTCGTGGTACCAGATCACAGGTACGCTTGCAAGAGACAGGAATGGGACTATATTCTAACTCGCCGTAGGGATTCATGGAGCTCCTGCGTTAACATGGGCTGATGTTGACCCGACGCCTGGAAATGAACATAGTGGGTATTGTACTCATGTGTCCATTCTGTTCCCTCCCTGGCATCGACCTTATCTTGCTCTATATGAGGTATATTGGAAAGATTCATCCCACTTTGATTATAAGTCGTCATCTTCTAGAAAAACTGCTGACGTTGCTTGTACCAGCAAGTCTTGTACAACATTGTTCAATTTATTGCGTCGTTCTACCCACCAGAGCTTCAAGACCGGTTCCAAAAAGCTGCAGATACCTTCCGGATCCCGTACTGGGATTGGGCTGCCGTCCCCCCGAACGGAGTCAGTGTCCTCCCTCTAAGTGTTGGTGCTTCGCCGATCATAAACGTGACCGGACCAAACGGTGTTCAGAGTATTTCCAACCCTCTATTCAGTTACGTCTTCAGGCCATTCAATAGTTCAACTTTTCCGGATTTCCCTGTAGGTTTATTTCCCTTGAGAGTGAAAATAGTATGCTAATAGTAATTTGCATAGTATAATACATGGCTCGAGACAAAACGGGCACCGCGTCCGATTAATAGTGCGAATGCAACTTCAAATAATTCATTCGTGGCACACGCATTAGATGTCCATCTCCCAAGTTTCCAGCAGCGGTTATACAACCTATTTTCTAACTACCCCAACTATACAACCTTCAGCAACGAAGCCTGGATTCCTGGTCCCAACAATGGCACGTACGACTCTCTTGAATCTCTTCACGACGCAATCCACACAGTTGGAGGAGGTGTTTACGGGCATCTTGCTATCATAGCCTATTCCGGATTTGATCCACTCTTCTGGCTACATCATGCCAATATCGACAGGATCTTTACTATGTGGCAACACCTCTACAATGACACATACGTGGTCCCCCAGCCTGCTGTTTATTCTTCTCATACGACATCTCCCGGACAGGTAGAAAACGCCCAGACAGCCCTCACACCATTCTTCTTCAACAAAACAGATTTCTGGACGGCTGACATGGTACGGGATCATGAAGTTTTCGGCTATACTTACCCCGAAGTAGCCAACAAGAATCGCTCAGAACTTGTGGCAACGATCAACAAGCTCTATGGGAAGTTCAGCCCGGCTTCTATATTCATGGGGTCGGACAGAAGTCTGCGACACAGCAGCAGACATACGAAGCATCCAAGTCACCGTGGGTCGTATAAAGCAAATGGCATATCTTGGAACAGCCAGTCTTCCAGCAGGCCTTCCTTGGGCGCGGTTTTTAGGGGTGGCAAGTATCGCGAGTGGATTGCAAACATAAAGGTGAACAAGCATGCTATGGGTGGTTCATTTTCAATCCATCTCTTCCTAGGGGACGTCCCATCCGACCCATCATCGTGGCCAGTAGCACCCAACTTAGTAGGCACGCACGGAATCTTCGCTCATAAAAGCGTGCACAGCCGCGCCTCTGATAGGATGGTTACGGGAACAATCCCCATGACTTCAGCCCTGATGCATATGGTAACATCAGGTAAAGTATCAAGCTTGCATGCAGAAGATGCCGAGCCGTTCCTGAAGTCTAACCTCGAGGTACGAGTCTCACTTGCGAATGGCACGGTAGTCAATGCTCGCCATGTAGGCGGACTTAGCATCAACATTGTCAGCTCCTTGGTCAAGGCACCAGAGTCGGAGAATATGCTTTCGGAATGGGGTAAAATGGAAACACATTTTAATCTAGTTGGGTAAGGAAACGGGCTACTAGGCCACCTTACTTTAGCATGTGTTCGGAGGGTTTGTACAAAAAGAGTTGGCAATGTTGTATTTGGTCGATTTCCTATAGCACACTTGAAAACAAGTCTGATAGAAGACTTTGATGTAGTTCGACCATTAGGTAGCTATTTCGCTAGGTACTCTTAATAATTAATGTACGCCTCCACCCACTTAGAGGTCCCCAGTATCGTGGATCTCAATACATGTAAAAGACATGAGTAGATAATTGATGATTAGATAATTGAAGCTATTGTAGTAGCTAGTATCTCGATTGTAGGATGGACCCCAAGGTAATTGTATAGCTACTACCTATTGCGGTTATGTGCTTACTTGTGATTGGACGATGTGCTAGCGGGGTTATCCCTATCACGGTGAAGTCTACGGGACTTTTCTTCTTGACCTTGAAAAGTTGTGAAAAGTTGTGAAAAGTTGGGCATACATCTCATCTACTATATAATTTCTCTTATATTTTAATCTAGTGAGGGTACCCGGATAGATTAATTGTAGTCGGTATAATAGATATACTAATGCCGCATCGCGAAGTATTTTATCGAAACCCGACAATCGAGATGGTTGCCAGCTCATCTGGGCAAGCCATGGTGCTTAGTGTAAATGACACGCACATACGTAATTGGCTTGAGTGTTTAGTAAGGGGCACGCGTACATATGTCTATGTTGTACAATGCTCGCTGGTGATAATGGGTAGTTAACTGTAATATGTGTAGTTCATATTCTAGGGGGATAGTGTTAGACTTTATAGGCACTACTACTACGAAATCAAGTAACATAATTCATTTTGTTCCATGTTGTTTATGAATAGCAACGGAGGTTTTACTGAGACTGAAAATAGCTCAGTGCTCACAGCGCCGTACCAAATTGCCTCGAGGTGTGGGTGAGGCGTTGTCTCACACCCGCGAAACACCATACCATGGGGGGGGGGAATACATTCATACATGTGGTATTATTCATAGCCCGCTATGTCCGGAGATTTATTACCAAAGGGATATTGAGACTTTGCGCTCGATAGAGTGATCAAGCAGCCAGAGTCTCAATTCTGCAGATGATCTTTTACTTAGCCGGGTAGCTGGGCTTAATTAAACAGCGGCATGAAGCCTCTGAAGAGGGAGCTGCATCGGATAATAACATCACATAGGAGGTTGAATGATGTTAAGTCAGCCAACTAACTCTATAATGCACTAAGTAGCACTAAGTATTGCCTAGTTAGTTAATTGGAATATAAGCTAGATGATTCATGAAGCATTAGCCTTATCAGTACTGCATAGACTATCGGTATCTGACCTTCCCGATACGGGGGTGGGGAGATTCGGAATAGATGTACCAGGGGACTGGAAACACGATGGCTGACCGTTGGCCGTGGCAGCTGACACGGCTCGTTCTTCACGTCAGGCCTCCTGCGACTTTACGTAGTTACAGTAGGAATGCTACGTTTCGCCATGCGATGCGAGATAAGGCAGGCTCTATACATAGTTTGTTAAGAACATTGAATCATGACTTACATGTAAATCACCTGATGCAAGACTGAGAGAATGTAGGTAAACTATCTCTTGTAGGAATAATTGGAACCTAAGGACCCGGAAACCAAAAACTGGCTCTTGGGGTACAGCTGCGATAGCAGTCCACTTTATCATAAACCTTATCGTATGTACCAGACTCGAGATACATAGCAGGTATGTACTTTCCCCAATCCCCTAGGAACTCTTTCCCCACTTACACCCCACCAGTGAGCCTTACCCAATAGTAGACCGATTGGTGTGGACCCTGCTCTTTGCTTATCTTTGTTTTCTTACTCGTTTTGCTGTGTAATACCTATCATAATATCCATCATCTGTTTGGGCGTCCAACTACTTCTTCATCTATCAAAAAATTCAAAACCAAGTCTCGCATCCCTTTCTCGTTCGATTCTTCGGATGACTCCGGTACAGAGGCTGGCTCACTCGAACGGTTCTCTCTGATAGGACACCTAGGTGACGAATCTCACACCAGAGAATAGGTTCGAGGGCGTTGCCACCACTGAATTGCCACCACTGAGTTCAGCTTGCTGCTTGTATGCTGCTCATATTAATATTGGATATGTAGTGTCACCGCCGGCTAGCCTGTCTCTCCACGCCCAACGTTCGATTAGAACGATTAGAACAAGAACAGCCATAGATAATCTTGCCGGGCATGTCGGAGTAATCCCTCCTGCTTAGGTATAGGTATCGAAATCGCTGGCTGTTGCTTAGCTTATACGGAACTGTACATACTAGCAGACTACCTGTTACTGCCACTGTACATATGTATGTCACCGATCTGAGGCGGGCCACAGATCCTGCAACCTGCAGGTCATGCCCTTGTCTGAGTGGCTGTTCCTAATCTCCCATCTGGTATGGGATATCATCAGACGCCGGTGTACATGCTATGCTGTACATACGTACGACAAGGGACTGCTATCAATAAAAAATGATTTCCCACCGGCCTCGACCGCTAGCCCACAAGCCTCAATTCTTGTTCTTTTTTGAGTTATCCGTAGGCGTCCCTGCTTCAATTCGACATGTTTGATAGGCGTATCGATTGACCCGAACGAGAGTGAATGTTTGTCTTTGAACTTTTGTCTTTGAATTGCTTCTTCTTCTTCTTCCGACTACGAAGGGTTAGGGGTTTGAATACCGCCTACTTTGCATTAACCTCGCCTTGGCCCCATCAAATCACGGCTGGAACTTGAAGTACTTGATCTAGCCCTCGCCTCGACCTTTCCTCGACTGCAAGTTCCCGACGGCATCCATCCAACTTGTTCACACTCTTTTGAACCCATTCACTCCTTATGTGTAATACTGATAGTCATTTCGATCATCTCGTTCTAGTCAACTCCCGAGACCCTCGTTGGGCTACGTAACAAAATGGTCGCACTTAATGGCATCGATCTTGACGCATTGGGCTATATCATTAAATTACCCTATAATGGTTCTGGTCCTACTGGCGGGGATTCTCTAACGGAGGATTTGAATATATGGTACGAGGTTAGTAAATAAACTCGCCGCCTCTCATTTTCAGGGATTTGACTTCTAATACGCGAGCATAGAGCGGCGATATCGCGTGGATGATAACGTCCACGGCTCTCGTGTTGCTCATGATTCCGGGAGTTGGGTAAGTAAACCGCGCTACAACCAACCTATATCCGCCACGGGCGTTCGTTAGCTTACAATCCTAAAGCTTCTTCTATTCTGGCCTTGCTCGACGTAAATCGGCCTTGTCACTAATATGGCTTTCCGTCATGGCGACGGCCGTCACTACGTTTCAATGGTTCTTCTGGGGCTACTCGTTAACATTCTCGCACACGGCATCTGCTTACATCGGGGATTTGTCCAACTTCGGGTTTAGAAATGTGTTGGCCCAGCCGTCAGTCGGCTCTACGAAGGTCCCGGACTTGCTCTTCGCCGTCTACCAGGGCATGTTCGCGGCCATCACCGTGGCGCTCGCGACTGGCGCTGTTGCTGAAAGGGGGCGGATGCTGCCGTGCGTCATCTTCATGTTCATCTGGTCCACGATCATCTACGATCCCATCGCCTGCTGGACTTGGAACCCGGCTGGGTGGTCAAACAAGATGGGAGGCCTCGATTTTGCCGGTGGTACACCGGTCCATATTGCCTCCGGGACAGCTGCGCTTGCATGTTAGTCTACACTCTCGACTATACTACATTGAGGAGTTGCTACGTTCTTATTGCTGACACTTAAATTTGTAGATTCGATGATGCTTGGAAAGCGACGAGGTCACGGAACGCACGAATTGAACTACCGACCACACAACGTTACTCACATAGTCATCGGAACGGTCTTTCTATGGGTCGGCTGGTTCGGGTTCAACGCCGGTAGCGCACTCTCGGCCAACTTGCGCGCCGTCATGGCCGCAGTGGTAACAAACCTGGCGGCTTGTGTCGGCGGCATTACATGGTGTGTGCTTGATTACAGGTTAGAGGGCAAGTGGTCGACGGTGGGCTTCTGCTCCGGGGTTGTTGCAGGTCTCGTGGCGATCACACCGGGTTCAGGTTAGTTACTGATTTACATATTACGAAGATACATCTAACCCTTCAAAGGCTTTGTTCCTGCCTGGGCTGCAATCATTTACGGAATTCTCGGGGCCGGCTTTGCCAACTACGCTACTAAGCTCAAGTTTTTCCTGCGAATCGACGACGCCTTGGATATTTTTGCCGTGCATGCCGTTGGCGGCTTTGTAGGAAATATCTGCACGGGTTTCTTCGCCGCCGACTATATCGCTCACCTCGATGGCTACACACATATACAGGGCGGCTGGGTGAATCACCACTGGATCCAGCTGGCATACCAACTCGCCGATTCCATTTGTGGAGGTTGCTACTCGTTCGCCGGCACATGCATAATCTGCTTCATCTTGAACTTGATCCCGGGTCTCCAACTACGAACAACCGAGAACGCCGAAATCTTAGGCATCGACGACGCGGAGATCGGTGAATTCGCATACGACTACGTGGAGATTACTAGGGAGTTGCTAAGCGACATCGAAGGTGAAGCAAATAGTCGGTACTCTGCAGATGCCGGGGCTTCATTCGACCCCCGAGAGAAGAACAGCATTCCTCTGATGGATTCGCGTATGTACGCTGGGCAGCAGTCGCAGTCACCTATACCATCATAGGGGGCTGGGTTTGTATGATATGATATTGGTTTACTATGTATTTGGGACTAGGTGTGTGGAAAAACTAGGGTATTGGCTGGCGACTAATATCTCGCTCGTTCATGTAGTATCTAGGGAGGCGTTATGGAATTCAATGGCATGTGTGCGCATAAAGGTTGATTACATATATACCCCTGATATCAGTATTTAGCTTACATTCGCTTGCTCCATGCCGACTGTAAGTATGGAAATACTTAATAAGTCTAAGACATATAATTTTCTCATGCAGTTGAAATGTAAAATAACAATAATAAAGCTTGACACAATATTCCTGTTGTAAACCCCTTTTAGGAAGCCCGAGTCTTATATCTGCCTACGAATATGTAACTAGTGTACCTATGTACTTACATGAATTAGTGATACCCAGGGGGTACTTAATTTTGCGAGTAAGTAACTCAATAAAGTAAGTATATGCTATGTACCTAGTCTATCTAAATACGTGTCCGGTGTAATTGAGGGGCGTACTAAGCAAATCAAGGGATTTTAGCTTTACCTCTCAATTGAATCAATTTACCATTTACCAATCAACAAACTTAAGACAGTCAATCAGTGATCATGCGCCCAGCAGCTGATGCCTACATGTACCGGATGAATTCGTCGAGATGCAACAAGTACAAATCTAGTGAAGCACTCAACACTCATACAATGCGTCTTCTTACGTGGAACACCGAAACGGACCTCACCAATACTCCGTTTTTCTTCCCGTCAACTCAATGGAGAACCAGCTAGAAGAAAAAGTTGCATTCTTTGAACGCCTCGAAGCATATACGAATGACGATGGAGAGGATGATATCTTGGGCGCAGATGAGGAGGCATACAGGCAGAAGACCAAAGCCTTTTACTCTGTTGCGCCAACCACTTCCAAGAATGTTTCTCCTACTGCACCAAGGGGAGTCGGTGCTGCCCCTATGGAGTTGGCGTCAGACCCCATTCATAGCAATAGCGATCCCGAGGTAGAAATCATTGCTGTTACTCCCCGACGCAATAAGTCAAGAACCGGCAGCCC